TTTAAAAAAATCATATAAATTTTTTAGCAAAATTGTTCACCATTTCTTTTGGCGCCTGAACGTAATATTCACTTTCTTTCCCACGGATCATCTAATCCTTCTACAACTTCGGGAAGTGGAAATACAGGAGGTAGTTTTGGTGGTCAACATAGTGGTGGTCATAAATTACAATTATTGAGTCCAGATGAAAGAATTCTTTTCCTTGCATATTGTTTAATTGCTGATGGAAAATGGTTATGTGCTTCGGTAACAGATGAACGTGGTTCTCTCCTTGATACAACTCTTATCAATTTAAATGTTCCATCAGAAGATACACTCCCACCATTAGAGCAACAAAAAGAATGGAAACATAAAGAAAGGCATTCACAGATTGCTGATGCATTACAACGTCTTTGGTTATTTGTGCGAAGTGTTGTAAGTCTTATTAATTTACTTTAGTTAATAAAATGTATGCATTTTTTATTTACTTATTTTCAGATGATCGGACAGGAAGTTCATCAATGGAGATTAGTTATCAATCGAATGGGCAAACTTGGTCACACAGAATTCAAAATTTGGAATGATTTGCTCTCTAAACGAAGCCTTAAAGCTTATAATTCTTCACTAAAGAACAACCAATCGAATTCTGATGGATTTTCTGCTTCAACATCTTTCTTAAATAATTGTCAATCTTGTTCTAATTCACATGGCTCTCATGAGACTCCAGCAATTCTTTCTGCTTGTTTAGTCTCAACTGAAGCAGAACCTCATTTACGTGTTTTTGGTTCTCCTTGTGCTTCTGCAAATTCTTTAGATAGTCAAAGCCCTGGAAATGTGGGAGTTTCTAATGCAAATTCTAATACCTCAAATGTTATTGGTTCTTCTTCAACATCGAATGTAGGCAATTCTGCAAGTACAAAAACTGGAGGTTCTAAAGGAGCAGGTCGTCATTCATTACTTCAGGCTCAGCAATGGGCAGCAGTACAACAACAATTACAGGCATCACCAGATGACCGTTCACTAACTCACATTATTGTTTTTCCAGTTAGTTTTTTAATAAAATTTCGAAAATTATTTTTTAAATATTTTTAGACAATTCTTAATGTTTCTTGTCAACAACAAGAAGATATAATGCATGGAGGGATTGATGATGATGTGTTTGCTGATTTTTTGGGTAATTGTTTTGGAGGAGAAGGTGCACCTGATGGAATGGAATTAGTTGAAGATCTTGTTTTTGATGAGGGGCCTAGAAATGGTAAATAAACTTTATCATTCTTTTTAAAAAAATTTTTTTAATTTTAGAAGAAGAAGCTCCAATAGATAACCAACCAATGGCTATTGGTTATACAATAACTACTGCACCTGTTTGGCCATTATCAGCTATTGGGTCTTCTTTGTCTTTAGATTGTGGATTATCTGATGCTTTTTGGTATAATTGCCCGCCAGCCGCTCGTCATCGACGTTTGACACATTTAAAAAGTTCTTTGCACATAAATTCTACAAATTTACTTCAAACTGATGATTATCAACAAACTACGGGAAAAAATGTTGGAACTAGTGGTAACCAACCAAGTGGGAATGCAACAACAGGAACTGATAAATTAGCACCAAATCCTTTAGATTTACCAAATACAGATGATATTCTTAGGTAAAAAAAAGAAACTTTTGGTTTTTTCTAATCTTTTTAATATTTAGATATGTTCTTGAACGACAAAATGCATTAAGTTGGTTAAATTTAGATCCGGTGAGTGGAAGTCGTTGTTCTTGTTTACCTATACATATGCAAGCAATTCATCGCCTAGCAGAATCAATTGGTGCAATTTTTGGTTCTTCCTAGTAAAATTTTTATTAAATTTATTTTGATCATCAAAAAGTATATATTTGCATTTTTAAAGCATTTATTTGGCATCTTTATTTTTCTTCTCATTTTTTTATTTTTCTCATAATTTTGTATTGTTCTAAAGATTGAGAACTTCTCTAAATTTAAAAATATGTATATTGTAAATAATATAAAGAATAATTTTAAAAAATAAATTTATTTTAATTCAAAAAAATATATTCTTTGATTGTGTTTTGTATAATTTTTCTTTTATATTTTATCTATTTCTTCATCCTCTGCCAATAAGAAACACGGGTTTTTGTTGTATTTTTATCTAAATTTCAATTTTGAACTAAATTTATTGTTGTTTCCTTTCTTTTCCCAAAGATTTATTTTGCATTCTTTTTAGCCTTCCTTCCACCTCTTCTTAAATAAATTCCAAAACTTAGCCTTTAGCACCAAACAAAAGACCACTTTTTATAGTAATACACACACAATTTTTTTGTATTTTTAATCGAAATATTTTTATATGTTCAAATTGATGATTATTTTTAATTATATATTTTTAAATTTTCAAATAAATTATATATAAAAATTTTTAATTAAATGTAAACTAAACCTCTTTGTTTTGTTTTTCTTTGCTTTGATTATTATAAATATAAAAAAATAAATTTATATTAAAAATATTTTTTCTCTCCCCCATCTCGATCTTCAACATGGTGCTTCGAAATATATTTCTATTTTTTAAACAATTTGTTTTATTTTTAACGGAGCACAACACGAGAAGACCAGACAGGAATTAAATATTTTTTAAAAAATAAATTAACAATATTGTTGGAGGGGGGGGGGGTTTCTTGATAAATTCTGTTAGGAGAGGTTTTTTTAAATTTTAAAATATTTTTTTTCTTTTGCGCGTTGTTATGGTTTCTTTTTTAAGGAAATATATTAAAAAGATTGTGTTTAATTTAAATAAAAGTTTGGGAAATGTAGTAGAATCCTGATATAATACATATGTCTCTCAATCCGATCCCGAAGGAGAGGTTTATAAAAAATAAAAGGTTAAAAAATTATATGTACATATATACATATTTGTTTTGAGGAAATAAAAAAAGAATTCGTTTTCAATTTTTTATAAATAATTTTGTATTTAATACATAATTAAAATCAAAACTGAAATAAATATTCAAAAGAAAAATTTAAAACAAAAATAAAATATTGAAATAAATAAAAAGATTTTTTAAAAAATAATAATAATAAAGCACTTTTATTGGTATTTTTCTTAAATTAATTTTTGTAAAAGTTTATAGTAAGTAGGCAGTTGGAGATAAGCCTTTGAAAAAAAAAGATTTTTAAAATAAATTTATCTTTCATCATTATGTAAATGGAAAAATGTCTGACATTTATATAAAAATAATTATAATTATTTTTTAAAATAAGAAGAGAAAAAGACTTCTACTACTAAAATACTTAAATATATTTTTTGTTGCCATAGATACTAATCAAGGAGTTGAAATGGAAATAAATGAAAATGTACAAATATTTTTAGCAGTTAGTTGTACTACTAACTAATTATTACAGGAAAATCTAAATTAAAAATGTAAGTGGGCTTTCTCATGTTTTCATAATTTTGCGACTTAAAAACTGCATCTGAGGCCGCCTTCGACGTTACAAAACAAAATACAGATCAAAACATTAATCAAAAGATTCTTTAAAAATATTATTGACTTAAAAGTAAGAGAGGTCCTTGTTGGATATTTTGATGAATATGCATGCATATTTTTAACATGATTTGTCTTAAAATTAAAATAAACTCATCGAAGACTTATCATTCATTCGACGCTGTATCCCACGGAAGAAATTGGCGTTGTCAGAATTTACATACATATGTTGTCCTCTCCATTTATGGTTTCATCATCTGCGGCCAAAGGATATTTTACAGACTTATGTAGTTGCCTTGCTTAGAAATAAATACAGTCATGGTAATCAAAAAAGAAATTTCAAAACAAATCCTAAAAATTTTATTTGTAATCCACAACCCCTACAAATTAAACTGTGAAGGGAACCCGCAAAATTTCGCATTTTTACCACATTTTTCTCTGCTTATTTTGCTTCCGGATTTTTATGGATTTTCGGTAAGCACATTGCAAGAAATCTTCCAAAGTTTATATACATTTATTTACATAACTTATATGATAGCAAAACAACAAAATAACTGGATGAATACAATATAGAGAAAAGATTTAGCCTAATACATACATACAAGTTTTATTTATTTTTGTTATTTATTAGATTTTCATTCCTTTCTTCTTTTTCACTTTCCATCGTGTGCCGTCCACAGTTCTTTACCATCAACTAACACCCGGAATATCTGACCAACAACTTCCAGCCCATAGAAGCGATGTGTACCTGCCTCAATATCTTCACTTTTGCCAGACGACTTTGGACAACTCTGATGATGTCCACCAGCATATTCAGATGAAGATTGAGTCTAAAAATTGAATATATAATTATTATTTTTAGCACATGTATTCAATTAAAAATTACTTTCTCGGCGGCAGATTCCTTGACAACACTACAAGACCCCTTTCTCGATCGCAACATCTGTTCCCTCAGTGCTGCACTAAAACAGCAAGGTCTCGCTCCCCTTTCCTTCTTTTCTTCTTCAGCAAGGAACTTGTCCACACTGTGCACCTTCACCTGAAAATTTAATGAATTAGATTTGTAAATAAACCGAAAATAATCTACCGCGCTGGGATGCAATGGACGTGCTGCGCTGAAGAAGCTCCTACCACTACACGTAGATCTAATATCGCTGTACTTCTCCGGCAATGGAAGGCGCATTGATTTCTCCTGCCAAGATAGAGGTTCTGACTCTTCAACAGAATAGTCGTAAACTTGAGAACACTCTGACTGTGCGTCGATGAAACGCAATGATGGTTCGTCATCCAGAGGTATTATAGCAGTCCTTGTTCCTTTGACAACAGCAGCTCTTCTACTCGTACCGCCTCTTTGAGCTAATCCTCCTCTTGGTGGTAGACGACTGCTTCTCTTTACTTTGCTGTTGTCAACTTCGTCCTTGCTTCCTTCTTGTTCTTCTTGTGTCGAAGATACTGATGGTGTACGTTGTCCTCGACCACGTGAAGAAGCTACCACAGAGAACATTCTGCGAAGCTAAAATAATTTGTTTAGAAATTTTAAATATTTAAAATAAACGCACCGAAGACTTTTCATTCATTCGACGCTGTATCCCACGGAAGGAATTGGTGTTGTCAGAATTTATGTTGTCCTCGCCATTTATGGTTTCATCATCTGCGACCAAAGGATGTTTTGCAGTCTTCGTTGCTTTGACCAAACAAGTACAGCCACAAATCTTCTCATTCTCGTCCAATCTCAGCGACGAAGATGACGATCTTGCAGTTCTTGTTGCCTTTACCACCTTACAACAGGCACATGCGGGCGGAAGTCGGGCACTTTTTGCAGCTTTGACCAATAGATTAGGCTAAAAATAAAAGAATTATTTTGGATTTTAAAAATAATTTTAAACTAAAAAATAACCTTCTTTTCCTTTGTTCGTCCTTTATTAGAACGGCGACTGTCCATATTCGATGAAGTCCTCCCGAAACGAAGTCGACGCAGGAATGTTGACAGTAGAAGGCAAGTTTATAGTTGAGTTGAAATGGAGCTGAAGTGAGGGAAAAAGTCTGGCTTTTATATTATGGCTTTTGTCTTCGTTCCAAACAATTACAGCCACAAATGTTATCATTATTTTATCCAATCTTAGCGATGAAGATGACGATTTTGCAGTTATTGTTGCAGTTACCACATTTTCGAGAATAAATAAATGGAGGATTTTAAAGTTCCAGGATTTCAAAAAAAATTTTAAAAATGAAAGGCTAACCTACAAATAAACTAATTTCTTCGAGTAAGTAGCAGATTTTTTGAATTATAAATCTTTGTTGTATTTCCAGAGTTTATAATTCTCTAATAAGTACCTTCTTTCCCTTTTTCCTACACTAATTCTTAAAATATATTTATTAAAAAATCATTATATCAATTTTAATAATAGAATATTTTAAGAATCAATATAAAAAATAAATCGAGAGAGAGTAAAACACCGGGTTTGAATCTGATGGCTAGTCTTTTTTGTATATATTGAGGCAAGGGTTTGGGCTTATTAACCAAAAAGTTTGGAGTCGCTCTGGCAATCACTCGTTCGGCAATAATGGAAAATCTCACCTAAGGTGACGCGAATTTTTGCCTAAAATTTTGCCTTCAACTCTGTAAAGTTGAACCTTCAACTTCCTGCCTTCAACTTTCGAAGTTTGGTCACTTCGAAAATTCTTAATTATATCTGTTCCTTATTTGCTTCTCTATCATTTAAATTTTATTTAATATCATTATCAATAATTTCAATAAAGTTATGGCAAAAATAAGGTGCCCTGATTCTTTTGGCCTTGTACCTACATATAACTGCTTGTACCTAAAAATAGAAACATTAAATACCTCTTCTCTCAAAATTACCCCCTCTTTGTTGTAATCTTGTAAAAAAACATTTAAAAATTTATTTTTAAAATAATTTTTTGATATATAATTTCTTAAAAAAATTAATTTTTATTTTCTTTCTTTCCATCGTTGAATTTCTTTTCCGGTTTTGTCAACAAAAATTAAAGAATCACTTGGAATTAATGAAATTTTTGAAGAAATTTCAGGCGAAATTAAATTTTCCATAAATTTAGAAGGTAATAAAATTTCGTTGTTTTCAGGTAAATAAAAATAAGGAGAAGAAGGAAATTGGGAAGAAGGAGGAAGGATAACTGTTAAATTTAAATTAATAAATATTTAAATAAATATATTACTATTTCTTCTTTTTAATGATGATTGTGATGATCTTTTTCCAAATCTAACCAAACTATTCCTCATTGCTTTTTTGTCGTTTCTCATTTTCCATCTAAAAAAATTAAATAAATTTAATTTTTATTTACTATTCTTTTTTTTTAAATTCAAAAAATTTTCCATTTCATTTATTTTTTTTCCGATAATTTAATGGAAAATTTAAATAATCAAAAATTAAATTTACGTTGGAATAATTCCTTCTTCATCATTTATTAAAGGTTTTGCAGAAGAAAATAAAATATTAAAAATTAAAAAGAATAAAATAATTAAATTAAATATTTTTAATTTTTTTGAAGTAATTAGTATATCCATAATTCTGAAAAAGAAAGAATATTTATTTATTTATTTATTTAATTTATTTTTTAAATGACGCTAAACTTTGTCATCATTTATGGGGGCACTTTTACTAAAAAAGGGAGAAAAAAAGAGAAAAAAACTGAAACAATTTTAAATAAATTTAGTGACGAGAGCATTTGTCTCCACAAAAAGTTTTTAGAAAAAAAAGTTTGTTTTCTAAAAGAATATTTTTTTTAAAAAATATTAAAAGAAAATAAATTTAAATATAGAAATAAATAATTGAAGAAAAAAGGTGTTATTTTGGTTATTAAATTGGAAGGAGGGGGAGGGGATGGAGGGGGAGGGTATTATAATGAGACAATCCTTGTCATAACAATTACCTACCTATATTTATTAAAAATTATTGGGGATATGTAAATATACTAGCTTTTAAGTCGTATCTATTGACCAACCTAAATTAAGTTTTAACAGGTATAAACTAGAGAAATGACTGAAAAGAAATTCTCGATAACCGGGATTTCTGTTCGAATCTAGCCTAGCCCGATCTTCGAAGTCTCGGCACGGTCTTTAAATGAGGTCCGTTTGTATTTGTATCTATACACTTACGGGACCAAGCCCGACCCCGACACAAGATCACAAAAAATAAGAAAGAAAATATCAAAAATTAAAGATTATTTTGTTCTAATTATTTATTTAAATTATTTAAAATACATAGTAATTCCTTTTTAAATTTTTTAGACAAAAATTGTTTTCAAGTTTAAAATAAAAATGCATGAAAATTCTTTCTTTACTTGTTAAAACTTTAAAAGTATTTTTTAAGGATATTTAAACACAAAAACTTTGTTTGGCAATTACAAATTTTAAAGTGAGGGAGGGAAAAAGTTGGAAGGAAAAGTTGGAGAAGAAGGATGGAAGAATTGGGTGGTGGACTTTTCAATTATATGTCTCTCTCTCTCTTTTCTTCAAAATAACCTCCCTTCCCCTCTTTTAAGCATTTTTAAAATTATTTTTTGTTTAAAAAAAATGAAAAAAAATTTTGTTGGTGACGAGAGTAGTAGGGCTTTCCAAGCCTTCCAAGAATTTTTGATAACTTTCTTTTTTTCCTTGTGAGAGTTTTTACGCATCAATGGCTTTTTTGACATTTCAACAAAAATGCTTGTGGGAGCGGAGAATAAATAAATATAAGCTTTTTTTAAAATCTTTAAAAGTCTTTAGGGAATATTATATGTTTATTGACACTTTTAAGTTTTTAAACAAAGGCAAAAGTCATTTTCTGGTAATTTTCCTTTCTTCTTCTTCTTTTGCTGAAAAGGAAGAAAAAAAGGAAGTTGAAGGAAAAAAAGTTGGAATATTTTAAAAGGAAGAAGAGACGGACTGGGATTTGTGTTTGGATATGTGTGAAGGTGGGAAGAAAAAAAAGGAAGAAAGAAGTGATTTATAAAAAAAGAGAAAGGAATGATGTTATTTTAAATAAAAAAAGTTTTTAAAATATTTTTATATTAAATATATTCGTCACTTTTTTTTGTTTTATTAGCCCCCAGTGACAGTCCAAAACTTAAAGAGAAACAAAAAAAGAGGTGAATATTTATTGCCATTTTTATTGTATCAATTTTATAATAAAAATTAATTAAATTTAAATTAAATATAAATTTATTTTATTTTTGCAATTTTTAATCTTTAAATAAATAAAAAGAAGTAAATACAAAAATAAATTTAATAAAAACATCTGTGCCAATCCCACCCCCCCTCCCCCTCTAACTCACAATTTAATTTAATAAAAAAATATTTTTAGCAACATTAAATAAAAATTTAAAACAATTTATATACAAAAATATATCCAAAAATTATTTAGAATCAAAAAAAATGTTTTTTCTTTAAGAAAGTCAAACCTTACTTAAATATAGGGTTGACGTTTAAACGAGACTAAATATTTAAGTAAGCTTTTATGTAAAATGAAGATAATGGAAGAAGAGATATATATATATATATACAATTACCTTCAAAAATAAATTAACACGAATTTATTAGTCAATTAAAATAAAAATTTAGAGAAAAATATTAAATGTGAATGATCGGTTTACAGAACTAAACCCCGGTGTTTTTAGTTAATTAACCGAAACAGAAACCCGGACAGCAAAAATACACTCTTAAAGAGGGAATTTTTTAAATACGAATTTTTTCAAATATTAAAATTTAAGAATATTTTTATCAATTTTTTCAAATAAATTGGTATTAAAAGTAGTATTTGGTATTAATAGTAGAAAAGATGAAAATATACTTATATATATAGTATACATTTTCTTTCAGATTGTTAAGATTTTTTAAAGTTTAACTTTACTTAAAACTTTAATTTTAAAACTTTGAGGTCAAGGGTTTAAGGTAAATTCAGGTAAAAAAGTCAGCTTAAAACCGTAAAATTTAGTGTAAATATTTAATTATTTTTTTAAATTTTATTTAATTATTTCCATTTTTTGACTATTTTGTTTTAATTCTTCTTCTTCTTCCTCCAAATATTTTCTTTTTTTATAAGGAAATATTCCATACAAAACAACAGCCCCAATAACCAATACCTTTTTTAAAATAAAAATTAGACAAAATTAAATATTTTTAAATTTTAACTGCTCCTCCAATAAAAAGTAAAGAAGGAAAATTTGAAAAAAGTAAAATTGAAGCAATTGTGGCTACGACCTTTAAAAATAATTTTAAATAAAATTCAATTTAATTTAAAATTACAATAGAAACAGAAGTTCCAAAAGCTTTTAATATATTATCTGCATATTTAATTACAATAGCAACAACTAAACCACCAAGAGCTAATTTTTAAAAGAAAAAAATTTTATTTTTATTTACCAAAAAAACACCTTGAAGTAAAACAGCCATCCAAACAATTAAATCAAAACCTTGCATAAACCCTTTTATTTTAACTTTTTCATTATCATTTACCTTTAAAATAATTAATTAAAAAAAACTCCCAAAAAAGAATTTAAAAAAGAAAAAAATTGGAAATTAAGTTGTCAAAAAATCGAAATTAAAAATTTCTGGAATTTAAGGAATAATTTAAACAGACGAGAAAATTAATTAATTAATTTTTATTTAATTAAAATTAACCCACCCAAATAACAAAAAGACCAATCGGAATAGAAAGAAAAGCTAATTGTGTATTCCTCAACCAAATAGAAACATCATTAGATTTTAATATTTTTTCCAAATAAATACCCGCAAAACCCGAAAGAATGCAAGCAATAATTATTGAAATAAAGCCAATAAATGGATTTTGAATATGTTGATGCTGGGTAAGGGAAGAGGAGGAGGAATTGTTTAAAATTTCTTTTTTAATTTTAAATTAAAAATATATATTTAATTAAAAAAGAAAACCTTTATTTGTATTATTTACCACAAAATTAGTTAAATTTAAATTATTTAAATTAATTATTGTTGTTGTATTTAAATTATTATTGTTAATTAATTGTTGCTTATTTTTATTTGCACTCTTTAAAAATAAATCTTTTTAAATTTAATTAAATATTTACAATTTGTACAATAGCAACACCCAAAATTAAAACAATTAAAGAAATCCATTGTTGAATTGAAAGTTTTCTTTTAAGAATTAAAACAGTAAATATTGCCGTTGTAAGGATTTTTAGTTGATAAGTAACCTGTAGGTATTTTTTAAATTTAAAATTAAATTTGGAATAAATTAAAAAACCATATAAGTCCCAGCATCTAAATTCTCGACTGCCTAAAAATATTTAAATTAAAAAAATATTTTTTTAATTTCCTCACCACATATAAAAGAAAATTTTGAATAACATAAATAAATGCAGGTATTCCAACTTTGAGTGTGTCCAAAAAATTTGTAAAAAAATGCTTTTTAATTAAACAAAATGCCCTTTTAAATTATTTAAATTGTTTAAATTTTAAATTAAATTAAAAAACTTTTTATTATTTCCAGTTATTAAAAAAAATAAAATTAAAGAAGTAAAGAATTTAACAATTTCATTAAAAAATACAGCTACCTAAAAATAAAATATTATTTAAAAATTAATTTTTTTCAAACAGTTTTGAGGAATGGTGGATTTATTGAAGGATTTCTTGTTGTTGCATAACGCATAAGCAATACCTTTTTAAATTTAAATTTATTTTTAAATTTAATTAAAATTACTTGTGAAGTATTTTGCACAACAAGCACAAATAAACTTGCATATTTAATTAAATGAACTAAAAAATAAATAATTAACGTTTTCCAAAACAATTTTTTAAAATTAAAATTAGAGTTGCGTTCCGAACCTCTGTCAGAAAAGAACGGGGTTTTAGGGTTGACAGAAAGTATCTGGATTTTGAGATGAAGTTAAGGGGGGGGGGGGGTTTCAAAATTTTACAAAAAATTTTGATAGATAAAAGGATTAACTTCAAACATTTAAATTTAAATTCAAAATTTCTCTTACATTTTTTTGGAATTTCCCTCGTTATCCCCTTTTTAATATTTTCTTCTTCTTCTTCTTTTTCTTCTTTACATTTTTCTTCTTTATTCTCATCAAAATATGTTTGGCCATTATTTAAATTTTTTAATTCATCACAAGAGGTACTATTTATATTTATATTGAGATCTTCACCATTAGTACTGGATGTAAAAGCAGGCATTCACTACACACAAATTAATTTTTAATTAAAAAATAATAATTAAAAATATTTTTTTTGATTTTAATTACAAAATTTTATTTAAAAAAAGATTTATTTTTATTTAAATATATTTTTATATAAAGTCAATTAATGTAGAGTAATATCATCAAAATTAAAAATAAGAGAAATATTTAAGTGAATTTATAATTTATTTTAATCACAAATATATATAGAAATAATAATTTAAAAACCCAAAAATGGAAGTTCTGCAAAAATAAATAAAATAAAGAACATTAAATTTTATTTTATCAATATTTTAATCTAAAACACGAGGTTTTTTTAAAATTATTTTTATCATTAAACGAGTCTTGTGTTTTCTTTTTGTTCTTTATTTTTGATTTATTATTTTTTAAATGATTTTTTGAAAGTCAAAAAAGATAAAGAAATATAAAAAAGGAAAGTTTTTTAGAAAGAGAACAATTAAAAATATATTAATTATTATGTCAAAAATTAAAAAAAAATTATTTTATTTTTTAAATTTTAAAATAAAATAACAAAAATAGAAAATACCCGAATAAAAAAATATAAATTAGTGTAAGACAATTAATGCACTAGAGAATATAGTAATGGATATACAATTAATCCCGTACAAGACCCTATTAGTATACAATCGTTGTAGGAATATTGTTGTAATGAACGTCATCCAACTTTGATTGGCTATAACTTTTTTAGCCTTGATCTAATAATAATCTTATCTCATTCGAAATATAAAACTATATTCATAAAAAGTTATAACCGAACAAAGTTTCCTGGCGTTCAGTTGGCCCGTTCCAACCTTCGAGGACTACAACTAGAATTATTAAATATAAATTAGTCAAAAATTTAATTTTAAAATTAAAACCAACATTTTAACACAACAAAATTTTTGGTAAAATTGAACTTTGTACCCCCTTTACTCCTTCCACAAAGTGAAAAAACGGTTCGCGTTAATTTATGGCGATAAGTACCCAGCTCTGCTTTTTAGAGCAGAGCTATTTTTCTACTACCTTAAAAGGTTATACTGGAATATAGTGAACTTACATACCTATCATATTTTAAATCTGACCATTTTTCCACTTTATGTAAAGGAAAGGGAGAGGTACCAAGTTCAATTTTACCAAATTTTTGTCTTTAAAATAAATATAAAAAAGTAATTAAGAGTAGTTAAGAAATATTTTTTGGAAAATTTCTTAAATAAATTTCCTCTCATAAAATTATTTATGCTGGACAACCCTTTTCTGGAGGTATTTTTCTTCCCTTTTTATTATTTAATTGTGTTGAATATATTCCAAAAAATCGAAGAATTTGTGTTGACGAAGAATAAAGAAATATCGATAAAATAACTAAAGTAGCCCCCAATGTAAAAAGTAAACTTGGTTTAAAACCAAAAAATTGAATAGATCCAAGAGTCGCCAAAATAATAGCAACAGAAGTAGCAAAATTTTTGGCAATATTGTCTGCATATTTCAAACAAACAGCAACAGAAAGTCCTCCAACGGCATACCAAAAAGCTGTTGTCCAAACTACAATATCCCAACCATACATAAAACCGTGTTCTGATATTTTAGAGCCGTCCTAGGGTTAAAAAATAACAAAAATAATTTTAAAAAATTTTTATGTTCTGCTAAATAAATTTTGAGATTGTGTCTATTACGTGTTTTGTAAAGTTGTGGGGCATAAAGTAATGAATGATTTAATAAAATTATTTATTTTCAAAGTTGGGGTCCTTTATTCAGAACTAGTTTGTCTAGCTTCTGAAATTTAAACTAAAGACAAAAACTAGACAAAATTAACATAAGTAAATTTCTCCGAAAAATTTTAAATATTGAAAACTAAAGTTAAATAAATAAATAATTACAAACTTGGATCATTGTAGCCAAAAAGCTTGCAGGAATTGAAAAAACAGCCATTTGAATGTTCTAAAAATTTGGAAAAAAATGTTTAGTCAGTAAAGATATTTTAATCTAAAAAAGTACAAACTCTCATCCAAAGAGAAACAGGCGCCGATCCTTTCAAAATTTTTTCAAAAAATACTCCAGAAAATCCAGAAAGTCCACAAGCAATACTTGCAGCAATAAATCCTTTTTAATAACATTTTTTATAATTGTATTTATTCAAAAAAACCTGTCAAAACATTTTGTTCACTCATAACATTTTTTCTTTCAGTATTTTGTTTTTGCTCGTCCTCGGGTTGCATTTGTACTAAACAAACACCAATAAACAAAATAATTAAAGAAATCCATTGGGCACGAAGTAATGAACGATTTAATAAAATTATTGAAAAAATTGCTGCCGAGAAGATTTTTAATTGAGAAATTATCTTTTTAAAAAATAATTAAATCAGAAAAGAAGAAAACCATAAAAGTAGCAGCATTTAAATGAGAAGCAGCAGTGTAGAATAAATTATTTTGTAAAATATAAAGCATTGATGGCAAGCAAACTTTTAAAGTATCCTTTGGCTGTTCAAAAACTTGTTTTTTAATTAATTCAAAACCGCTAAATTATTTTTAAAAAATTTAAAAAATAACTTAAAAACCTTAAAAATCCCTCTGGAGAGGAAGATTCTGAATGGAAAACAACCAAAAGACAAACACAAAGTTTAATAACTTCTGTCCAAAAAACAGCAACAGTCGAAAAATACATTTCTTTAACATCCCTAACCTTTTATTGGAATTTAAAAGAAAAAATAAATTTAAATACAAAAAAATACTCGAGAATATCGAAGAAGTAATGCATGGACAGCATTTTGAACAGTTAACCAAATAAGTACACCTAATTTAATTGAAGCATTAAATGAAGATGTTTGTGTTGTTCTACGAACTTCTACTAAACCCATCTAAAATTTAAAAAATATTAATTAATTTGAAGAAAAAGAAAAATATTTTTCCCGCTCTCCCTTCCTTGCCTTTTACTCAAAAATAGATAAAATCTAAAAACACGCAAAAATATACACATCCGTGTTTAAATAAATCAGATAAAAAGGATTCGAAATTTAAATTAATTTTTAAAAAACTGATAGAGGATTTAAAAAAAGGAGAAGCTATAAAAATACTCAAAAAACTTTAATTAAATAAATTACCAATTTTTCATTATTAATTTCCCTTTCAATTTTTCCATTTTCAATCAAAATTCCTTTAAGGTCTGTTGTCGTTTGGTCATTTAATAAAGGTATTTGATCATTATTTTTGTCTAAATTCCCAAGTCCAATCAATCTTTCATTTGCCATTTAAAAAATAAATAAATCTGAATTTTACAAAAATTTAATTAATTCCAAAATTAAGTCAACTAAAATTTTGATAAAAATGGTTAGACAAAACTTTAATTTTTTGATGATGTGGATTCGTGTTGGAATTTTGGATGAAATTCATGTGTTGACAATAGAAAAATAAAAAAACTTTTTTTAAAAATAAAGTCAATATAAAAGAAATTTAATCGATTAAATTAAAAAAAAATTTATTTTTTAAATTTTTATCGAAATTACAAACGTAAAATAAATAATTAAATACAACAAAATTTTGGCATTTAAATAAATAATTTTTGGATGAAAACTGCAAATTCTCTTTGTAAATTGAAAAATTGTAAAATATATTCCGAAATGCTTTAATAGACCCACACTCTCTATTTAAAGCCCACTACCTAATATAAACACCCCCTACAAGAGGATAGAAAAATAAAAGCAAATGTGGGGTTCTTTTAAAGTATTTGGGTAAATAAAAAGTAATTTTTATAAAAAAATATTTTTCTTAAATTATGTGGATATTGTGGACTTGATCAATCGAGATCTCAAAAATTTAGATTCTTAAACAAAATCTAGTCTAATCCTTCAAATAACTTTTGTTTGTTAATATTCCACAATTTATTTAAAAAATTATTTTTTTGTTAAAAATACTTCCCCCCTCCCCCTACAATATTTTCCCTTCTTTAATTTTTTTAACTTCAATTAAATTTTCTTTAGCTTTAGTATATTTAAATACACATTCTCTACACATAGCTCTATACAATTCTTCCCCTCCAATTATCTCAACCCTTTTATTTGTAGATAATCGAAAAGTAAAAGAAGCTGATTGTCCACAATGACAGACAGCATTTAATTTTTCAATTTTTTCTGCATTTGGAATTAATTTTGTAACATTTGGAAATGGCTTTAAAAAAGAAAAATAATTATGTTTAAATCTCTTACTTCTTGTTTATAATCTCCATTTAATGCTGCTATAATTACTATTTTCCCAATATCAGCCAAATCTTGTGCATATTTAACTAAATCTTTAAACTAAAAATTTATTTCAATTTTTTTTAATTATTAAAAACTAAACAAATTGCCCCTCATCAATTCCAATAACATTATAATTTTTAATTGTTTCATAAATTTCTTCAATATTTTCAGCCAAAAATGCCTCCATTTTTCGATGATCATGTGTGCATGCCTGTGTAGAATCATAACGTATATCATGTCGATATTTAATTATTGCTACTGAACGTCCAGCAAGTGTGTGTCTTGTTGCTAAACGGAAAAGTTCTGTTCTGAAAATTAAAAATAATTTTCTGGAAATAACCAAAAATAACAAACGTTTTCCCGCTAAACATTGGCCCTAAATTAATTTTAAAGAAATTAAAAAAAATATTTTTATAAATACAGTCGTGGAAAAAAGTATGGAAGCGCTAGAAAAATTTTATTTAATTCTTAATTTTTCATTCAAAAAATACGTTCTATATACCATTCGAAAGCTCTATTCGTATCTCAGTTGACATGTTTCTGCATTTTTCATGAAAATGAAAATTGGCCGAGATAATCCGGATCTACCGGATATACCAAATCCCACTTTTTCGGAAAAATTTTTCGGAACAAATATTACAAACCCAAATGATAAAGCATATTTTTCTGAGTATTTTCCACAAAACCGCTTATAAATATCTTTTTCCAGTCCAGAGATATGATTTTTTGAAAATCGCATTTTTCGCTTAAAAATTGAATTTTTTGCAAAAATAGACGAAAAATGCGATTTTCAAAAAATCATATCTCTGCTCCGGAAAAAGATATTTCTAAGCGGTTTTGTGGAAAATACTCAGAAAAATATGCTTTATCATTTCGGTTTGTTAAATTTGATCCGAAAAATTTTTCCGAAAAAGTGGGATTTGGTATATCCGGTAGATCCGGATTATCTCGGCCAATTTTCATTTTCATGAAAAATGCAGAAACATGTCAACTGAGATACGAATAGAGCTTTCGAATGATATATAGAACGTATTTTTTGAATGAAAAATTAAGAATTAAATAAAATTTTTCTAGCGCTTCCATACTTTTTTCCACGACTGTATGTATTATACCAATAATTAATTGAATACATCCTCTTTGATGACACAAACATTCAGACATTTAAAAGAAAATTATCTGAAAATTAATTATTTCTTTTTAATAATAATTTGTAAAAAAATTATTTTTTAGCTTCGTTTTAGATTTATTCAAATTTAAATTTGTCATTAAAAATTAATTGGCATTCTGTTTTATTTAAATAAAAAATGACAAGAAAAATTAAAGTTGCTGATCTCGTGCCCATGGGACACGCCCAAGTAGGCACGCGGCCAGGTAGGCGCAAAGCCATAACTACCTGGAAAATTTCTGGACCCTAACAATTTTGGTACCAATCTCTTTAGCTCGATGAGAGGAATCGTTTAATGCTAAACTTGGAAAGATTCGAATTTCTTGGAGCAAGTTATGGCTTTGCGCCTACTTGGCCGCGCGCCTACTTGGGCTGTACCCCGTGCCCATAAATATGTATGTATAAGATCTTCTTATTTAAACCTTGTTTCTCATAATTTTTTAAAAATTATTATGAAAATTTTTTTATTCATGGAATGTAGGATGTATAAAATTGCAAACTTTTTATATTAAAGAAAGAAAAAAACAAGTATTTATTTTATGAAAATTAGCATTTATAATAAAAATCTTTTAAATATTCTTCTTTAATTAATTAAATATAGATAAAAATCTTTCAATCCTTTTCATTTATAATAAAGACAATACCTACTAGAACACAAAATACTTTACAAACTTTTATTATATTTTTATAAATTTGTACTAAAATGGGTTTTTACAAATAAAAATAAGTAAATTATATTTTTGTTTAAGCAGATATTTAAAGTGCTGGAAAAAATAGTCCGGGTAATAAGGAACTCTCATGGAGATACAGGCTAAGAAATTATAAATAAGTTATCATTTTTGGGTTTGCGAATTTTTGGGCATCCTTAATGTAAAGTGGATTTTGTTGTCTGGTATATACATATGTATATAAATATTGCTAAGTCAAAAATTTAAAAATTTATCCCTATTTAAAATTAAATACTCGATTTTTTACTTGGTCAAAATAATAAAAATGTAGGTAAAAACCTTTAAAAATTTAATTTAATACAAGTCAAGATTCAAAAAAAGCTCAAACTGTATTAAATCTCGACTCCGATATTAAATAAATAAATATATTAAAATTTTATTCAAAAAATTAATTATTTAAATGAAGAAAGAAAAGAAAATCATTTTTTAATAATTAAAGGACAATTAAATGATTGGAAAAAGAATGAGTTAAAGGGGGATCAAATTTTAAAAATTGTTAAATTATTAAATAAATAATTTTAAATAATTATTGTTAGGCGATTAATTTTAGTGTTAAAAAATTTATTTGTAATTGCTGAATATTTTTGTGCTTCAATATTTCACCCATAATGTTAAAAATTTAATTGCATTAATCCTCGTTTATTTTGAATATCTACTGGAAAATAATGAAATAAAAATTTAAAAATAATTTAAATTTAAAAATATCAAAAATATTTTAATTAAAAATTTTTTCTTTTTCGTTTTCTTTACTTTAAAAAACTAAAAAATATATTTAAATAAATATATAATCATTTTTTAACTAAACAAAAGTTAGTTTTGTATAACAATCTGTTGTTATTTTTAAATAAAAAAGTAAAGGATTATCATTGTTAAAACTATTTATTTAATACTTTTTAACATACTAAATCACTCTCTCAATGTAAAAAAACATAATGGATTGCCTTTTCTGTCCTCCTCTATTTATTGTTGAAAAATATTTTATTTTTTAATCAACAAAAAATCTATGCCTTTAAACGATTCAACAATTGTTGACACAGTTTTACGTTCTGATCCAGCTTCTGTCCATTGGTTTAATAAATGCCTCTCAACTCGTTCATTAAGATTAACAACTACAGATTTAGATGATTTCCTTTTACGTTATATTTTTCCTTTTCAATTTACCGGTTTTTTAAATTAAAATAATAAAAATTATTTTTTAAATTAAAAATAGTTGGAATAATAGGGAATACTTTAATTCTTTATGTTTTATTATCTCCTGAAATGAGAAATAGAGCAAATGATATGGTTTGTTTGTGGATTTTTGGAATAAATACTTTAATTATAATAATAACATACTACAAATTTGTAAAAAAGACAGATTTTTAAATTTATAACTCAAATTTAACAGTAATAATATATTTTTTTATTTATGAGATGTCTGTAATATTTTTAGTTCTTAATTTTAGCTTGATTTTGAAAAAATAAATTTTAAATTTTGTTGGGGTTTAATTTGAAGGGTTAATAATGAAAAAATTTTTTTGAAAGCGGAAAGATTAAATTGAATTTTAAAATATACTTTTCTTAAAATTAAACTTTTACAGGCCCAAATTTTTAAGAAAATTTAGAAATTTCGAGAAAAATTTAAAAATAAAACCAATACAAATTCCTCAATCCCTTCAATACCCTCTCCAATAATAAATTAATTTCTTAAAATTTTTATAACAAATTTTTATTTCTTTATTTATTTTATAGCTGGCAGCAGTTTCTCTCTCAGATTTAGCATTTTTCTTTGCAATGTTACCTCATTCATTAGCATTATTTTTAAGTAATAATATACATTTTCGTTATCCATATTTGGTAATTAATTTAAAAAAATAAATTTTTTAATTTAAATAAGTTACATAAACAAGGACTTTCAGCTATAAATAATTGGCTTTCAGCAATATCCTCAATGTATTTAAATTATTTAAAAGTTTTAAAATAAATTATTTAGATTAATATTAGCAGTTACAATGGAACGTTTTTTAGTTATACGTGCTCCATTAAGGTCTAGAAAATATTGGAATAAATCACAAAGACAATGTTTTTTCTTATTAATTCTTTTAGGAACATGTAAATTATATTAATTAAAAAAATAATTT